TGGTAGAAATTCCATCCGGATTCCATCCCCAACAATGTTCAAGTAATCCCTGACCTGCCCCTGCCCCTTCGCCTGCCCATTCTGATGATGCAATTAGCTTAAATCAGAAACAGCCAATCAGGCAATGTGCGCCACTTAAAAACTTTTGGCCAACTTGGAGGGTCAGTGGAAGTGGAGTGCCGAGATCTTGTTGCACGAGCCGTTGCCTTCGAGGAGCGGACCGGAGCCATCCACTCTAAGGCAGCTCCAGACAAGTTGGCAGCCGAATGCAATTTCTATTACGAGTATTCGTTGATTTTTAAATTCATTTAAATTTTGTACAATCTGCCGTACCGTTCCGCTTGTTGCAATCGCAATCGGAATCGCAATCGCAAATGTATATGTTCTGTGTTTATCAGGTTTTTGTTGAGATTTTAAGTCTGGCAGATTAAAGGGAGAGCCCAAACAAAAAGATTACTTGTATTTGGCAAATTTACGCTTATTGACGGGGACATGGACTGGGGTAGCACAGAACGGGGGGGCGAATGTCAGCCATCAGCCATTTGAGCCCGTTCGGGCTGGCCCGGTTTAAGGTTGTTTATGGCCCCAGTTTGTGTGGCGATAGGCCTGTCATTTATTAACTTGAATTTGCATTTAAGCTTCCCGCTGGTACAGTGCTGTGGGTGTGGGGTGTTGGCTAAGAAAACATTAGCTAGAACAACAAATTAAGCATAATATTTCCCGGCATAAAGCAGCACAGGAAAATGTAAACGCTCCCGCACAATCTTAAAGATCTTTAAGCACAGTCCCTCCCTCCCATCTGTCTTGATCCAAAGTAAATTCTGACTCTGAGATTCCCGAACCCTTAACTCAAGCAACGCAAACAAGCCCTTAATGACTGAGGAGCTAATTTGGAGCCCCTATACATACTACAGGAGGCGGGCGGGGGGAGGGAGAGATTGTGTGGGTGTGTGTGCTCCAATGTTTGTAATTTTCCTCGCTGCTGGCCTCGTCAGGCAGTACACTTTTCCATTTGCTTTAACTTTTAAGTGTTGCTTTGTTTTCGGGACCTCGCCTCGGCAGCTTCTCTAGGCTGTAAACCGTAGCCTACTTACGTGGGCCTCAGACCCTATCTCTGTCTCAGCCTCAGACCCAGACTCAGTCGCAGTCTAAGTCTCAGTCTCGGTCTTGGTCTCAGTCGAGCTGTTGACATTGTATGCGGTTATTGTTGTTGCTGTTACTGCCGCTCCTGCTGCTGTGTGGCAGGAAGCAAACACTCAACGCCTACTTAGGCAGCTTTTTCGCATTCTTCTGTGCCGTGTTGTGCAGTGTTGCTTTGCTTTTGCAACTAGAGGCTGCAACGACTCGAGCCCCGAGCTCTGAGCTCGAGTGGCTGTCCTCGAAAAAAAAAACCTGCCTGCCAGGGTCATTTGTTCATTTGCATTCGCAAGACTTTTGTGTTTTATGCATTAAGCATTCCATTCTTTTGCCTTAAATGAATTCCGGTATAAAAAAAATCTAAAAATGTGACGCAAATGCAAATGAGTAAGGACCAGTGCTAGAGAGGGAGACAAGAAGAGGGAGGAGAGAGAGATCAGAGAGTAACTCCCACAGTTGTGGCCACTTCAGGTGTCCCCGTCAAATGAATTGGCATGTGTCGTGGCAAGAGCCTAAAACTAATTGGGTTATGTTCTCCCCAGATGCTCTTCGTTGTCAGCTCAGCTGAGCGCAGCTCAGCTCTGTTTTGTTCGCCTCGGCTGGGTCCCGGCATCGTTCCGGCCCAGAATGTCTGTCCACCAGACAGACACCATCGCCCATGACGTTGATGGCACTTAAACTGCACTTCATTTGCACTGGCCCACACACACAAGCACTCTTGCAAACAATGGAATACAAATCCAAGCCATAACAGTTGCATTCAGCTGTTTATGTGCTTTGTATCCACAAGATGCACAGATACACCCCGGGGCTGCCTTGCTGCCTGGCTGCCTGGCTGCCTAGCTGTGTGGCTGGGTGGCATACCTGTGTCTGGCCCAGGGCTTGCATTATTCACTAAGCTCCTAAATGCAAGCCATCCGTTGGCCGAAACTGCTGTTGCCAATGCTGTTTTGTGGTCAGTATCGGACTTTGGGAGTAGTGAATGAAATGGGGCAGCTTGCATTCGGTGCATTTACTATTGCGGTTCTCTGATTCGACATAAATTAGATAGAATCTGTAATCCAAACAAACATATTATCTGAAGCACTACATTATGTTCCTAATCAGCTGTCCCACTATTTATAACGGTTAGTGGTCTTTCAGTCCCTGAGAACTCCAGCCAAAATAGGTGGATAAATATATGGAAATCGGTGCCATGTACTCTGTGTACTTAAGCATGTTTTTCTGATGGAAACAGAAGATTTATTTGTACAACTTTGTTTTTCCATGCCAGTGGTTAACCATTTGTTTGATCCACGCTATTGTCGCTCCTTGTTGCAGTGTCAACAATGTAACATTTTCCATTTGCAGCTGGCATTTGCATAACGCGACTTCTCTTTCGATTTTCACCTGGCTGACTGGTTTGACTAACTGGCTGGCTGGCACACTCACCTGTCATTGTCAGTGTGGCCGGGCTGATGGATCAGGGGTCACAGGGCGAAGGGCGGAGCCAACACGTTGAGTAGATAACAATGACAATGACGGGCTCTGGTTGATGTTTGCTTGTAGTTGCCACCGCTCCTGGTTGCCCATCGCCCGTTGCCGGTTGCTGTGACTGCTCTCGTGTCATTCGATGTATTTACACAGCAATCTATTTGTACGAGTATATCACAGTAGTGACTTTATCTCCCTCCTGTCACCTTCCCAGACCCAGACCCATACCCAGACCCAGACCCCAGCAGTAATGTGCTGTTATCATTGGTGGGGCGGCTCTTTTGTTTCCCGATTTGTTTTGTGTGCGTGCAAATACCATAAAAATCACCGCCTCCTGCGGTGACTGGTGCGTTGAATCAACAAGTCTTTTAGCCCACCCTCCCCGCCGTGCGGCTGCCATTAATTGCTTAGCTCAGTGGGGAGCTTCTCCGCAAAAGGCTTATATGTAAGTGACGAGGGTAGTGTCTGTAGCTGTGAGTGGCTGCTGAAAGGTCGAAGCAGAGCCAACGAAAATCAATCAAACGCCAAGTGTGCCAATATGTCAGACATTTTATGCTGACCCAGCCAGCCAGCCGTTGTCTTTGTCTTGACTTCCCCCTAATATAAGCAGTGCATATAGTATATGCTGATTGTATTTCGCTCTTGGGTCATGTTGTCTAAACACAACTAACCTCATTTCTCTTCACTTTTTTCCTTTTGCTGGTATTGAGGAGACAACAAAGGCAGTGGCAAAGGAAGAGCCTGCTTCTAACGAACTGACCTCAATACAGAGAAAACAATAAATTGCAAAAATGTTGAGAATGCAGAAGATGCAAAAATAAATTCTGAGACTTCGACACCCACCCCCACACAAAGGGGTCAGCACTGTTGGAGGGAGACGGGCTGCCTAGAATAGAGTGAGAGGGAAAGAAACAGGTAGCGAAATGGCAGTGCAACTTTCAAGTGGGGTACGGTATGAAAGGGCGTGGTCATTTCCAGTGGCAAACTTCCTCGACTAAAACCTGAACGGGCCGGGCCGGACCGGGCCAGGCGTGATATTTTATGGCTTTCTAGGACACACAGTGCAAGTAAATAAAAAACGATGCCATTATAATTTCTGGAAATAAAGAAACAAATGGTGAAGAGAAATACTATATATTGGTATAAATGGAAAATAGAAGTTGCACCGTCTACACATACATACATATATACATACGGGTCGGAAAGCTACCATATAATCTATCGGGGTCCACAAAAAATGCAGTAGAAAAATGTTAAAGTCAGATTGAAAGAGTTTCCCTCAATTTGCATTGAAGCGGCGGACTTAGTAGTCCGACTGTTGCATAGCGTCATCAAGGAACCTTCCATTCACGTCGCCACAGCCACGCCCCATGCGAGTGTCACCATTAAGCGCCACCATAAAAAGCAATAAACACTGTCGGCTTCACTTGCAGTTTATGTCATTTGCAGCGAGTTTCGTGCGCGCTTTTAACTGGTCAAATAGTCTCGACTCGGCTGTCCAGCGCTCTGCCCCTTTGCCCCTCCTTCTGGTGGCCAGTTCATGGGCCATCAGGGCCTGTAACAGCCATCAGGGAGGGGGGCACAGCTGGGCCACTCCAACTGGGCCCCTTCATAGGAGTTTTTCCTAGCCATTGGATTTTCTTTTACCAGTTTTCCTCCTCGTGTAATTTATGAGAACGCGTGAAGGGCAGGGGATCGGGAGTGGCCTGTTGCCGGCGGTGCATCGGCTTGCATGGGTGCTTTGTCTTAATATGAGGCTTATTCTTCGCAACATTGCGCTCGCCGACTTTTTACGGCTGTAATTAAGCGGAAATAATGGCACAAGCTCATATTACGTACACGCCAGGATGGCTTTCTAAACAGAGTACATGAGTGTGCGAGATCATCATAAATGCCGGTTACCATGCGTGTATTCGTATAGTATATCCGGAATCCTATTCTTCTTAATCGACTTTTTTAAACTTAAACTTAAACTTAAACTGAATATTCATCTTTTCTCTCGATTTCTTGGGCTTGCAATCAAGGTCTAGCTGACACAAGCCTCATGTTGATTCAGTAAACTTGTATCCTTAACTACAGTGAGTTTTATTTGACTGCCGTCTAATTGACTTTATCCTTGTCAAATAAAGGCTTACAGGTACACATTGTGAAAGCTGACTCAGACGTCACGTTGGTTAAGCAAATGCTGATACTCTGCCGAGATACATCGACAGCCTTATTCCCTGGGAATAAGATCTTAAACCATCCTATTTTTTAAAATTTTATTTATCTTAAATCTTTTATCTTAAACCATCCTATTTTTTTAAATTTTATTTAGTTTTTATGTATTTCAGGCTGATTTTAATTTTCTTTTTGTTTGGTTTTATTATAAAAGTATTTTATACTTTCAGGCTGAAGTGTTCCTTGAAAATGACTCAATCAAGGCCGTTCTCCAGATTACAATAATACGTGACACGTCCGGATCGGATAGCATATGGCCGAGTTACAGCGAATTTACTAAAAATCGATTAAATACTAGCGTTTAATTAACTAGCGTCTTTTACGAAATGGCATATCCTTATTGCCCTTGATGATGTCAAATGGATGTGCGACCTTTTTCGAATCACAAGGCGGAGTTTATTTGTATTTATTTTTTAATTTGTATTTATTTTTTAATAAATGGCGGAGCTATAGCAATAAAACTAATAAATTAAAAGGCAGTGTCCTTTATGTCCTTGATGACAAACTAGCTGCAAGCAATCGAAGATACGGTGCCGATCTCGAGGAGGCACTTCCTGTTCAGACTAGAACTGCTCGTAGCCGTGACCATGATAGCAATTGGTGGAGGGGAGACGTGAAAAGGCATTAAAAGAAATTCAGAATTAAAAAAAACCATGGCATACTTTTGGGGGGTTGTAATTTAAAAAAAGTGTGGCATACTTTCAGGCTGGACTATTCGGCCTATATATTACAAAATTGCTTGTAAAAGGCGAATCCTTGTAGTTCTGAGGTCCTTGATGGATTCAAACTATAGAAGAGACCCTTCCGCTCACGAGGACATGAATCACGTCTAAATCGGACGAGAAATGACGGAGTTATAGAAATTGAATCCTTAATCCTTGATGTCCTTGATGCGAAACTGATTGCAAACGATCGGGGAGATTCTCCTGATCACGAAAAGGTGTGGCGCGCCAAAATCGGTTGTCGATTAGCCGAGATAGAGCGTCACAACAAAAATACTGGTTTTTCCTTTCCGAAGCTATATCTCGGCCAAATAGGGGCAGATCCTTGAAGGACCTACTTTTTCAGGATCGTGAGGATCTACACTATCGATCGGCATCCAAAAAAAGGACATCCGAGGAATACTGGTTTTCGCAAAAATCATGATCATGATCATGATCATCATCCTTTTTGCGAAAACCAGTATTTGCCGAATGTCCTTTTTTTTGATGCCAAACGATGGAATGGGCTCTTCTCATTACAACAAGACATGCCACGCCCAGATCTGCCCCTATTTGGCGAAGATATAGCTTCATTAAAAAAAACCAGTATTTTAAATTTTTGGCAGCCAAAACTTTGGGACGCTATATCTCGGCCAAATAGGCTCGGATCGGAGCAGGACCTATCTTTCCAGAATCTTTAGGTTCCAGACTGTCTATCGGCTATAGGTTTTCCCCGATCAGATGGAGGCGTGGCCCGCCCTGATCAAGCTAAAAATGGCGAAGCAATAAAGGATTTCTAGCGTTTCCAAGGCAATATCCTTATTGTCCTTGATGTCAAACGATAGGGAGCTGTGTTCCGATCACGAGGAGGTGTGGCACGCCCAGATCGGACAGGAAATGGCAGAGTTATACGCATTTTAAAAAACGCTATAAATTGCTGCCAGTTTCGTATCAGCCAGCTTTTGACCTGATGTAAAAACGAAAAACCAGCTACCTTCTGCTGATTTCTGTTGGCCTGGTACTCGGTCTGAAAATTTTCTAGCTTTCGGCCATTTGAGCGAAGCATTTGCAAAAAGTTAGTTCCAGCAGTGGCCGGCAGAGTATTGGGGGCGCCACTGTGGCAAACAAATTTTACAATTTTCCGTTTTTAACTGTATCCCTGTATTTGTGGCCCGATGGGGTCGTGCAGCGGCTTGGTGGAGTCCCTACCAAGGATCAAGGATATTTTTCACAGTGATACATACTTACTTTTCTCCGCCATTTCTCGTTCGATCTGGCCTTGCTATACCTTATTGTGATCGGCACGATGTCCCCGACCGCATAAAGGACAATAGGGATATTGACTTTAAATCGCTATAACATCGCCATTCCTCATACGATTGGGGCGTGCCACAGCATCTTGTGACCGAGAGAAAATTCTTGATATTATGGAGTCCTTTTTAAGGACCAGAATCAAGGATATTTGTCCCCAGTCATCCTTACTATTCCCCGCCATTCCACATCCGATCGGGACGTGATACGTGGCCGTAATCGCCAGGATCTCCTCATTATTTCGCATCAAAGCTCCGCTTTTCCCCATAAGGTCTGGGCGTGCCACACCTTTTCGTGATCGGGGGAATATCCTTGATTTTATGGAATCCTTGCCAAGGATCAAGGACATCAAGGATCAAACTATTTAAGTTTCTCCAGTATTCGCCATGGCAACATTCCCGATGGCGTCCTTATCGAGGATAAAGGATATTTTCCACAGTCATACATACTTACTTTTCTCCGCCATTTCTCATCCGATCAGGCGGTAATACGTGTCCTCCCGATCGCCGGGATCCCCCCAATCGCCTGCTACATAGGATACCAAAATTTACTAATTTTGGAGTTCATATTTCTTAAAGTTCTCATTTATTTAAAAATATTCACAAATGTAATGTAAATGTAAATCTATGCATAACTATTGAGCAGTTCAAGTTCACTTTTAATTCTGAGCTGACAACCAGTCCATTGCCAGTGTCAGAGAGCGCTCTGAACTTACTTTCACATTCTTGAATAGGTTACATACTACTTTGAGCCAGTGTCTGCTTGCCAAGGCAGCTACCCATGCACGTCAGTCAGTTAGTAGAGCACACGAGCCTGGTGTCAGTTTGTTCTTCCAACACTTTAATTAAAAAAATATGAATCAAAAAGAGGAAAAAAAGAAGTAAATGTTATGTTCCTTTCCCATCGAAAGTGTCGACGAAGCAGAGAACTAGACAGCAGACTGAAAGTGGGAAAATCCCTGATTATTAGGCCAAGCCGTAGTCGAATGTGAATGCGAATGGAAGAGAAAAACATTTGCTCCACTTACATAAGAAATCAAGCGACGGCTTGCTGCCAAAAATAGGTGGAAGCAGGAAAGGAGATGGAAAGACACTCCCAGAAAATAGAGAAGGAAATATAGAAGGGAGAGCTATCAAATAGAAATGTTTTTCCCTTGCACATTGAATGCGCAAATATAATATGCATAATATTGAAGTTGAAATCGAAATAGAATAATGAACGAAAATAAACGTTTATTGGCATTTGCCTTTGCGATAATCAATAATATTTCCGGCTCTGGTTGGGCGGTTCCTCTTTCAGCTATACGGACATGCATATGCTCGTATATATGTATATATACTACACATATTTCAATTTATTTCCAATATCTATTTCAATGTGTGCGCTATGTGGATTGTTCCACATTTGTAGAAAATTATTTGATTGATAATTTGCATGGCAATGGTGCTGATATTGTACCAACTTTCTTCTTTTCTTAAGGCCACTTGAGTCAACAATAAATAGCAGTGTCCTATACATCTATGATTTAGGTGACCTCAAGAGGTCTATAATTTAGGACGTCATGTGCAAAGCGCTAGTAATATTTACCATTATTTTTATCGGTAATGAATACCAATAGTGTGAGCGGTGTCTCATTTACCAAATTTTAAGACTGTAAAACTCCAAGAACATCCGTCTTTTAAATTTGATTGGTAGAGTAAAACTTTAAATACATTTCAGTTTTAATTTCAATCTGAGTCCTAGTCGGTTGACGGTAATACAAAAGCTGACTGTGTCGGTGTCGGTACTGAAAGCAGCACTTTTCCCATTTTCCTTACCCATCTTTTTCCGCGTTCCCTTCGGACTGCTTGACACTGCTGCGTAGACAACTTTCCGTGACACAGCAGCCTTTTCCAGTGTCAGTGTTTGTGTGTGTATATATGTGTGCGGTCTGATGGAAGCCATTGGCAGGTCCCTGGGCATACGGTGGGCCTTTGTACGCCTGTGTGTGCACACTGCACCCGGGGGTGGGGAGGTAAACTGTAGCATAAATGACTTAATCGCCCGTGTTCTGGAAATCTGTTGCAACCAAATGTCGCCAAAATAAACCGTTTTTGCTGGAACATGGTTTAAACAGCACCTGAAATTATAGGAATTATTGAATTATCCTGTTTTATAAATCTATAGCAAATGAAGCAAATGTTTTTGGATTATTTTAATTTGAGGTTAATATAATAAAATTGATTGTCTTCAAATTAAAAAGAATTCTTCAGGGGAATACTGTTCTGAAAAGTGAACGAACATTTTTTTCAGAACATCCCATTTATAAATGATTATGGCTTGTATATTGCTGAGCGGCTTTTACGAGAGTATGCATCCGCAATGAATGAATAAAGAGAACCGCTTCGCCAACGGTTCATTTCTACCTGCCTGCCTTTTGGCTGGTGCTGCTGCTGCATGCCTTATCCCCTCGTGATATGACGTATACGTCCCGCTGTCCTATACTGAAAGGCAGACTCTTGATGTGATGTCTCCTGTGGCCAGTCAGACAGCACGCTTTGCGTAACTGGGCACATGTTGAGTCATCTGATGTTTGTGTGCGGAGGGAGGCGTTTGAGAGCTCGTGTGTGGGCGTCTTTGCCACAAAACAATTGCGGCCTTTTTAAGTATAATGGCATACGCGTGGGCATGAGAAGGCACTAGACTGTAATTACCGAACTTGCATAATTTAGCACACGATTTTGGTGTTTCTCACTTTATCTCGTGGCCCGTGTGAGTGTGGTCCCTTGTGGACCTTTGTGGCCTGTGGCCTTGGCTCCCCTGGAGGATGGTATGCACTACTATTGATTTTCATTGTTGTTCTTCAGAAGGTGCAGCGCAGCGCAGCCCTGCCACCTGCCTTGGAGTAGCCATAATTGCTATCATCTAAATTCATATTTCCTGCCCCACGCTATTGTGGCCCAGTTTAATTTGCGGTCTGCATGCGAAATCTGCGTGTATTGGTGTGTTGCCAACTGTTAGATCGCTTCCCGTTGACCTTTTTGCTTACAAATGGCCAATATGTAAATAGGCTGGCAATTAAAATGCTGGCAGTGCAAACTTCGTTAATTAGCAAAAATAAAAAAACCTTTAATTGGCTTTATGCCTGGCGACTTGAAAGCTTTTTAAAATGCTAAATATAATTTACTTTACGATTCTGAATGTTTCCTTGGTGTGGTTTCATGGTGGGGCTGATTTCGGTTCACTTTTATAATAAGAAATGATTTCCTAAAATGAAATTAAATGTTTGTAGCTTTTCTCATAAATTTCTTTGATTATATTTATTTTTAGTAGTTTGGAAAAATGTTCTAAAAACGAATTCATTCAAAATTATTTAACTAATGCATTTAATTTAATTGTTGGCAAAGAACCCCCTTCAACTTTCATGATGTTTTGACCCATCGATGTTCCAACCTAGCCGTTACCTGCTCTCATTGTTTGGAATTTTGTTTTTGCCAAAAATATAATGAAAAGCACAGCCAAGCAACACGTCAGCGTCAGCAAATTTGGGACAACTTTCCTCTATACTCGTACCAGGGCCGTCCTATATACCTGCCAGCTGGCACTGTGGTGCCCGGTCCCATTTTTCCCCTATTTTCCTTATATTTGTCGCTTACTTTTTTTTAGTTTTTTCGGGGCGTTGCCGTGGCTGAGTTTTAATTAGCCTTGAGTGCGTGCTAGGTTGAGCCAAAAGCCGTACAAATTGTTACATAAATACATACACACATCCAACAAAGTGTTTTAAGGGCCTAAAACATTGTCGCCACCTATTGTAGTTGGCTAACATGAAGGGTACGCAGGCCACGAGGAAAATATAATAGTTCTAAAGGTGCAGAGCTGCAGAAAAAAAAAAGGCAGAGGGAAAAAGAAAGTGAAAAGCTGGGTAAAGCAATAAATGGCAGGGGAAATGAAATCAGGAAAAGTGGAAGAAGTTTCTCTGGCATACATATACTAGTGCTGGCGACCCTGAATTCCTCGCAACCCTTTCGCCCTCCGCTAATGCAGTCAGAGTCGCCATGGCAAATGTTAAGGTCCTTACAGAAAAAAACTACAAGCGAAATGCGGGCGATGGCCTTTTCTTTTATAATTTGCGTGTTTACGACAAAATTGCATGCCAACATTAAAATGAAAACAAAATGTTCATAAAACAAGAGGCCGAGAATTTCGCTTTTTTCTCTCAAGAACATTTAAAAAATATTTAAAAGCAAAATTCGGTAAGTGGAAACAGGAAACAGCATGTTAATCAATGAAGTTATTTCTAAAAGAATGCAGTACTTTTTTGGGGTCATGTGCATGTGCATACGATATCTCTCTGCCATATGCTGTAGTTTTACTCTCCGTTTCGGGGCCGATCGTAAAAATGATTTTGACACACTGAACTTGGGACTTTATGGCACACAAATGAAAAGGGAAAAGTAAGGGGCTCGTAAAACATTTCTATTTTATTGAATTTAGGTTCGCTGAATACATGCAAATGGTTTTCATTCATGTGGTTGACTTTCTAAATTGTGGAAACAACATACAAATATAAGTGGACCCTCACCATCTTGATTTACTCGTACATATGAACTGGTACTTGTATTCTAATTTAAATTTACTATATTTCCAATCTTTATTATTAAGCTTAATTTACTCGTAACTATATTAACCCATTTACCAATTTGCTGGGTGCATCAATGAGAACTTTGCAATGACGATGTTTGGGTCTAAACTAAATAACATATTTACTATATATGGCTTTCTTCTCTCCCATAATCCAATATATTTTACAGCGCTGCTTAGCTAATAAATTGTAACATTTGTATCTATCAGATATATACATTAACATTAAGTAAAGTTATGCATAATATGTTGTTCATATATATGGTGTTCCTTGCAGTAAATCCGTCTCTAATCTAAGTTTAGATAAAGCCTATCTATCGAAAACTATCCGAGAATGTTGTGCAGTGAGCCAGGTCCAAGTGGCGCTCAAAGTGGCATTTTCACCAAAAGAAAAGCCGTATTCAAGTAAAAAATGTAACATGAAATGATGAATACCTGATGTACTTGATGTGTGTGTGTGTTTGGTCAAAGTTGTAAATGTTAAATGTTATATATATATAATGATATATATAGGGACACAAAATACACAGTCAAAAATATTCAACAGAACTAGGCCACTTCCATGATAAGATTCTGTGCTAAGCTTAACTAATACGAGAAGAAGCTGCAAGAAATCATTAAAAAAAAAAACCCCCAAAAATAATACAACAAACAATATTAAATATGTGCATGTGTATATGTATATGTGTGTATAGTATATGCTTTTTGATACCCCATAAAGGACATTAGTTAGACAAAAGAGAGAAAATATGCATAGCAAATTTTACAAATAACCCAGGCAGCTTGAAAAATACTCGAATTATTTTGTTATACTCCCGAGAATAAACAAAACCAAACCAAACCAAACACAGCTCCAGCTACAAGGAGGACGACATGGAATGAGATGAGTTGATTTTGATGTTAATGATGAGGATGACGATAACGATAACGATGTTGTTGATGGATACACACAGACAATACGCCCAAAAGTATGCAATTTGATTGTGGACAGAGAATATTTTTTAAATGTTTATAAGCAGAGAGTGGAAATATTTGTGAAACATATTTTAATAGACACTGAAACAAAAGAGAGAAAACCAAAGATAAAACTGAAGACAAAATACAAAACCTAGACAGCGATAACAAATTTTTTGAAACATATTTTTTGATATACAAAAACAAAACAGAAAGAGACGGTACGGAAAAGTGAACACTGCGAATATGCACAAAACATATATCTTTTGGATAACCCTAGCCTAAGTTGAAGTTGAAACAATATTTTCAGTTAGGTCTTAACATATTATGTATATTTTGATGGTTTCACCACAATTTTTTTGAGCCGTTTCGAATACCGTTCGGTTAAAGCGTAAGCCAGTAATCCAGAGTACAATCATTTATGTCAAACAGGACACCAAAACACACACCACACATTGGCACCACACTTCTCAGACGGGGATCCATACGGGGTACGGCAGCAAGTGTCATCTTTACAGGGATAGACAAACGAGAAACAAACCAAACCAAAGAAAACCAAAAAAAAAACCGAACAATTTTTTGCTAACAATTTTTGTGAAATTCATTTACGAACCGCTTTATATCAGGAGTTGGAAACAAAGTATTTACAGATCTAAAATCAGAAGAGTACTAGAAATATCTGCAGTTGGGGCGGGACTCTAAAAAGAACTAAGCAAAGAGAAAGTGCATCCAGCATCCAGCAACCAGAGTGAATGTCAATGAGGAGCAACAGTAAACAGTAAAGTGAGGTGATAATATCAAAAAGGGGTTACAACAAGGGGAAATCAAAGGTTAGTAGCACACGGACTCACATCAAGTTTTGGGCCCGGCTTAAGTCCAACATTACATACATATATCAGCTATAGAGTAGAGAGAAGCGACCAAAGACTGGTTGCGACCGAACAAACGAACAAAAAACAACAACACATATAAGCCACTCGAAAGAACCGAATGTTAAAGCGATTCAGAGCCACTAGCGTAGTTTGTAACTAGAGGTACAACACCACCCGATCCTAGCCCTGTCCCTTTCCCTGTCTGTCCATCGCCCACAACCATGTATGCAGCTGCTGGTGGCGCTTCGCTGGCCTCGCGCCAAGCGCGTCAGAAGCAGCGCCAGGAGAAGAAAAATAAAATACTACAAGCGAAACTACATCCACCGAAAGCGCCCGGGGCTGTGGGGCTGGATGCCGGCGATCTTGCCGGCGGTGCCTCCACCCCCACCCGCAGCGCGTCGCGCCAGTTCCACCACCTGCCGACGACCTACCTGCGCGCCCCGCAGGCTTTGGGGCGCAAACTGAGCGCCACCTATACGACGCAATCGAAGCTCCTACTGCCAATCGACGAGGGCGACACCCAGTCGGTGCTCCAGCTGCGCATGCACTCCCACTCGCACGCGCATCCGCACGCTCACTCTCACGGGCCGCTGGCCCACGGCCACGCGCATGCGCACAGCCATCTGCAGCCTAGCCACCTGCTGGGGGCGGCCGCCATCACACCGGGACCGCCGCAGACTCCTTACCAGCAGTTCGCCTCGTCGCACGGACGCGTCTCACCGAAATTGGTGCATCGGCACTCGGGCAGCAGTGCCGGGTTCCATCCGGCGGCAGCTGCAGCGGCCGCTGGACAGCTGCACAAATCTGCCACGGCCACTCTGCCGCTTGTCTCGCATATGGATATGGATATGGAGGCGGCGTTGCCATCGGCTGTGGTCGGCGTTAAAACGACAGCCACGCCTACGTCTCCTCCCTTAGCCAGTACTTCGGCGGCCGCGGCAGCGGCATCGGCCGGTGCTGCGATAGAGGTAGAGTTGGCTGGCGCCGCAGCCATGTTTGTACCCCACCATGATGCCATCATTGTAACGCCGGCCACGCCCATGGCCTCGCCGGGCCACGTGACCAAGCTGCGTCGTCCCGGGCCAGAGGAGGAGGTGCCCGAAACGGCTGCTGAGAGGCAACCGCTCACTGCCGGCGAGGCCTACGACGAGGACGAGCCCATGCATCCGCCGCCCGGACAGCTCGAGCGCAAGTGCAGCGTATACCGCATGCGTCGGAGCGATGCCTTCGAGGATGGCGACGGCGACGGCGGCGTCACCGGAGGCCTGAAGCGCCAGCTCCGGGAGCTCCAGTTCAGTACGGGTGTCCAGCAGACCCAGTACGAGCCCCTGCTCACCGACGAGCCCCAGCTGCTGTTCAAGGGTCTCGGCAATGGCCGCAAGTGGCAGATCTGCGCCTACTGCGAGGAGGGCATCTGTGTGTGCGAGCACCTCGAGGTAATTTCCGGCAGATCCTGACCAGAACCAACTATTCCACAACTCCATTTCCGTACGGAATCCGCCTGTTTATGTGTCTCCTCTTTGTGTTGTGCATGCCGAGTAATTGTATTTTCAGTGTTTCAGTATTTAAATGTCATTGCGATGCTGCCCAAAGTGTGGTAAATGGGTTAATGGTAGCCAAGCTCTACAACTAAATCAATGTCTAAGTTATTCAGTGTAGTATTATCCTATTAATCTAATGTATCACTTATGATTTGATGGCACCAGTTCATTTCGAAATTCATCAGTTTATTTATTTTAATTGTAAGAGATTCTGGCATATACAAATATTATTTATAATTGGGAGTAATGGGAATTGCCTTTTTATTGACTGTATTGCCTAGTGCAATTTATAAATATAAACAATATCTGTGTATCTGGTCCATATCTGATGGATGGATACATTTCTCTCTGAAATTTCCCTTGACCTGACAAAATTGAGTGCAATAAATTGTTCGCCCAATAGATCTTTTAGTAGGTATATTTAATAGATTTTTACTCAAACAAAAGTTATTTACTTCTCAAGTTTTATCAATTGAAGCGAAGTTTCTCCTTGCAGTGGGAAACATAAATATATTATTGATTTCATAATTGAAAGAAAGTTTTAAAAATAATATATTGCCGATGGTTTGCGCCTCCTCCCTGAATTCTCTTGCTGACTGTTGTCATATCTCTAATAAGGACAAGTTTGCATTGGCAGGAGTGAATAAGCTCGATATGTCTGTCCATGCAACTTGCCTCCCAACTAACCCCGTTTTGAGGCGATGCCATAACGCCAAGTGCATGCATAACAACAATCCGAGAATCGGAAGTGCATAATGTGCCTTTGTATCGGCCTGATAATGCGGTGCCCGAAAAGCTTGGCAGCCATCGACCGCCCCCGCAGCCCTTTACCGGCCCTGCCTGGCGCCGTTTGCCAAATGTTGTGTAAAAGGCTAATGGCAGCCCGGAATGTGTGTCATAAAAGTGCAAGGTGGAGGCGGCAGCGACTTAAAGTTTTCTCCTTTAAGCCGCCACACAACTCTCGACTCTCGGCACTCGGCACTCGGCTGCTGGCTCATGACTCACTTAACGAGCACTGAATAAGAGACGGAAAATTAAAAAACTTAGCCCTGTGCAATTATTTGGCTTGCATAAGCAGCGAAACACGCTAAACATACGAATATCTACACAAAATAGAATATAAAACTAGCAGAAATTAAACAAAACTCCCGCACAAAAGAAAATCTCTGTAAGCTCGAGCAAAAGACGGAAGTGCCTTGCAAAAAAAAAGAAAGAACGGTTTCTACGAAAAATGTTAAAAAAAAAAAACTAGTAAGAATGTCGGCTCGACTATAGAATGCCCAGCATAACAATAGATTCCACGACCGGGTAAATCTATCTCCAAGAAATATATGGTTGAATAGGAGTGCGAGGCTATGTCTGCTTATGACCCTGATAAGCCATATGGCAGTTTCCTGTTTTGGAATAGCTGAAGTTCCGACAGCCCGGTACATCCATCCACTTTAAGTACCCTGTGTACTCTTCGAGAACTGGGTGTAAAAAAACAAAAGGGGCAACAAGAAACTACATAAGCGAGGAAAGCAAACGGCAAAAGCGAATGGCGGCTGAAATTTATTATATTCTCAGGCACCCACGCCAGCGTCACTTCTATTTCCTCCGTCTCATTCTCATTCTCATCCCCATCCTCATCCTTCTCCTCAGCCCCCTTTTACTCACTAAGAGAGACATAGATCTTAGTGTGTGTGTGTGTGTGTGTGTGTGTGTGTGTGTTCTTCTTGTGTATAAGTATGTGTTTCCAGTGTATAATATTGTGGCAGGGTAAGTCTGTAGTTTTGAACGGGGCGTTCACAAAAACAACAGCTAGTAAATTAGCCGGCAAATAGCGAAAAAAGTATGCGGCAAAATGGCGGACGCCAGAAATGCGAAAAAATATCATCATCACCATTTTGTCCGCCCGCCCACGCGCACGCCCCGCTGTCGGTGCGCCTCGCAAGTCTCGTGAAATGAAAATGGCGAAAAAACTTGTAATAAAGGTGGAAATAAAGGTGGAAAATGGCAATGGGGGGGAGGGGAGCCGGCAAATTTATGAATAAGCAAAATGGCGACACTGAGATAAATAACTGCATTAGCATTAATTGCCTACTGTACTATGCATGCATACAGGGGGCGGAGGGGCTGTGGGGCATCACGGTATAGTTTTTTCTAAATAAATGTTTTGCTAGCTGGATGATAATTTGATCCTAATTGAAACGAGCCCTCTAATATGAAGGGTACTTAAAGCTCTTGTGCTTTATTGTCCTTGGAATGCTCAATAATATTTTCGGAATTTAATCAGTGGCTTCAAGGTTCTTCGTTACTTTTTATAGATTCTACAACAGCTGCATTGGCCGGAATCTATTTTCAGTGCCAATTAGCACTCATCACAGAGAGTCGAACAATGCAATCGTTTTAGCCGTAAATCTGACCCACGGTCAGTCGATTGAGTTCAGTGCGTATCAGCTCTCTGGTGCAATCAACGGTTCGAGGCCATTCGATTGTGATTTTATATATCTATTTGATGAATCAAATCGATTACGCCCAAATGAACAAGATGCCTTGATTTTCGTTGTCCTGTTGTCCCCAATGAACCGCTTGCGCTTGCCCGGGCTGTCCTCGGGACATCGTAATTTAATTTTCAATTACTCGAAATGTCTGCCAAAAAGTGCGGCTCTGGCGATTGTTACTACTGCAGCATGCAGCCTCAATAATTACTCAAACTGTCGCCCATGGCCGGCGCCATCTTCCCTGTCACAGTCCCTGTCCGTGCTCTGTTTTCCAGGGTCCATATCAGTGGGGATTCTGTTCATGCTGTTCCAGTTTTTCACAATTCTTGTTGCTGCCTTGGTAATTGTTTGCCAGGCATGTCGTTCTTGTATTTTGGTTCTTTTCGTAATTGTAACTGACATATTGCAATTGCAGTACCTCACAGTGCCTCCTTCTGCAAGGCATGTCTGTCTCGCAAATGAAGCGATAATCATCCTTGTTTCCACAACCAGCAAACACCAATCACCGATCCAACGACAGTGGCTTGTTTATTGCATTCTGTGCGGTAGCTACATTCACTTATGTGCGGTTGCATAATTCATGGTCTCACACACACAACAGACAACAACAACAAGTCATTGAGAGAGGGATAGGGGGAGAGAAGGAACGGAACCCTTCTCGTTTATTACAAAGCCACATTTAAATTCATTTTCGATTTTGGCACGATGGTTTTCTGCTTTCTTATTGCCCTTCAGCCAACATTTATCTTCGATGTTTGGCCAGTGTGTGTGCAAAGAGCAGCAGAGAAACTTGATTGTTGTCGCTGCCATCGACAATAAAAATCATTTAAAAAGACACAAATTACACCCTGCTCTCGACAGCACAAAAATCGCTTGACATTTTTATGGAGGAAACAATCGAAAAAGTCCCAGCAGTAAAGGCAAAATTCAGATCAATCGATTTATATTCAGCAGTTTATGGCTAATTTTGCAATTGATTGGGGGGGGAAATATTTGTGTAGGGAACAAGCTCCAATAGCTGGCAAATTGACCGCAAATTAAGCTACGATTAGGCCCGCCCCATATTGCAAAAAGCTCAATAACTTATGCTCAATTAACGTGTATTGGCCTAGGTGAATTTCCAGGTGAAACCAGCCCACATTGAGCAAACATCACACACACACACACACACACAAAAGCTGGTAGAATTTCCCACGCAGATACACACCCAGCTACTGGCAGAGTCCCCTGAATTGCTGTCGACAATCAAATAACATGACTCTCAACAAGGACAGTTGCCATTTCTCACGGCATGTGGCATATGCAAATTCTTCGTCGAGGGGCGCCTCGTTCGCCTTTAATTACCTGTAGACAAGGTGCCCGTGGAGAGCACCTCACTGCACAACGGCAGCACCGCACTGGCAGGTGAACAAGTCAACGGGCGCTGTGCCAAAAAGCCGCTGTTCCCGTCAGGTGCAGATCCCACTGTGCTTTGCCATTCACATTAATTAACCCGAGCTGCTACTCAACAACCAGTGCCATCCGAGCAACAGTCGATTGAGGTTATCTGGTTGGCTACTTTGCTGCGGCTTTGCCGGATGCTTTTCATACTTCACCTTTGACCTGCTATTGATTTGGCAGCCTTTAGCAGCCCGCAACCTTAGCGGCATCTAAATGTGAAAGTTGACTTTGCATAAGGAAATAACTTATGTATTTCTAGAGCTGACTGCAGTCTGCTAGCGAATGAAGGTTAGGGGTGAAAGATTGCTGGGACGTTCAAACCAGATGATTCCACTTTAACAGAGTGCGAAAAGTCCGGCTAAAGAATATTCAAAGTGGCAGTGATTTTCTTGCATCATGCAGTCTGACATATTGCATTTTTACCGACTCATAAATGAATCAATAAATACGAAATGGCACAAAAGGAACACAATGGGCGAATGGATGCAGTAAATTGAATGAATATGAGTATCATAATTCAATTTAATGACACGACTGATTCGATTGAAACTCTCTTGGATAAAATCTCTTAAATGCCCACTTAACTTTATGCGCAGATCTGAATAAATTTCCATGTAATGCACTTGACACAATTGGGCATGCTACCCAAAAGACAATATCTCACAGAACAATAGGGCACTTCAGTGTTAATGAAATTTACCATAAAATGTCATATATTATTTGCACTGCACTCTTACTGTCCGCATTGCCATTGGGCAATGGCCCATCCTCTCTCATCCTCGTTTCAAAGCCCGTCATGCTGTACTCTTTGGCAAAATCATGGCACACAAATTAATTTTCATAGTATACACATACTTGTATGTGCTTATGTTGTCAGCGTGCCATTGTCGCTGTTGCTTTTGCTGGCGACTGGCTTCCAAACAGCAACATGTGTAGCAACGCACACAGATACATACATATACTCGTAGATAC